TGCCCCCCCTCTGCAAGGCAGACCTGGGAGATGAACGTGACCATGCCGGCCTTTCTGCAAGCCAGCTAATAGAACCCTTTCTCTCCCCTGGAGCTCTTGCAGGCCTGTCTCAGCCTAAGACCCAGATTGGCGACCCCGTCGCCCCCGACTCGCCATTGGTTCCTTACCATATCAGGATCGCCAGCTTCAATGCGCTCTCTTTGCTTCCACCCAAATCTCCTCAGGAGAAGACGCGCGAAGCAGGCTTGGCCTTCCAAGCTGGCGCTCCTGCCATCCTTGCCACTCAGCTCAAAGAACATGGCATCCATATTGCCATGATCCAGGAAGGACGCAACGAAAAAGGCGTCATCCGTACAGACCAATATACTCGGTTCTGTTCTGGTGCGGTCAAGGGCCAATGGGGAGTTGAGATATGGGTTCGAGAGAGCTCGCCTGATGCCTCTGGCGACGCCTGCAAACTCGGAGCCGGCAATGCTGTGGTGTTGTTGGCTGACCCTCGTCGGCTGCTCGTGAGATTTACCACCAAGCCCTTCAACATTCTGGCAGTCTCCCTGCACGCTCCCCACCGCGCGTGCGAAGCCAACCAAATTTCTGTGTGGTGGGAGGCTACCATCAAGGCCATTCGCCACTTCCGCCGTGGCGAGCCCCTTCTGATTGGGGGTGACTTCAATGCCGCCTTAGGTAGCAGGGCCACTGAAGCTATAGGGACTTTTGCCTATGAAGCCGAAGACCTCGCTGGAGAGTATGTCCAACAGCTAGCGCTTGAGCAAGACTTGTTTGCCCCAAATACCTTTGACGGGTTTCACGAAGGGCCTGCCTTCACATACCACCAGAAGAAGGGAGGTAAAGTGTGTAGGCCTGACTATGTGTTGATTCCCAGCTCATGGAAGAAAGGCCTTATCAAGTCATACACCTCCCCGAGGATACATGCGGGGCATTCAGCGCAAGACCACATCGCTACATGTGTTGCGGCGCGGCTGTTTTTCGCCGGTCCTGCCACTTGCGCTGCGGTCAAACGACGCTGCATCCCTGCAGCTGCCGTAGCGCATCCAGACAATCTTGACGCTGTGCGCAAGGTCCTGCGTGATGCTCCCGCGGTGCCCTGGCACACTTCTGTACATGCCCATGCCGCCATTCTCACTAAGCACGTTCAGGATGGGCTGCAAGCGGCTTTGCCTCGACCTGCAGCTTTGCCCAAATGTAATTACTTGCAGCCCGCCACATGGGAGCTGCATCGAGGTGTCTCCAAGATCCGACATGCCCTGCACCAACGTAGGCATCGGCTCGATGCTGCCCGCCTGCGCATCGTGTTTCAGGTCTGGCGTTCTCACGATGACACCTTCGAACAGCTCTTCATGCTCAATGGTTGGGTCCAGCAGGCCCTCATCCTTCAAGAAGCCCAAGCATGCCATCTCACTGCGACCTCTCGAGCTCTCAGGGCTGCCTGCAAGCGTGACCGAGATGCATACTTTAGTGGGCTGGCTGATCGAATTGAGCACGGGCCAGTAGCTGAAGTCCATGCCAACCTTCACAGAATGTTAGGCCATAAACGAAAGAAGACATTTGCCTTGGAGCCCTTGCCAATGCTCCGTAAGCCAGACGGGACCATCAGTGCTGACACTTCTGAACGCCTTGATATCTGGAGGCAGCATTTTGGGAGCTTAGAAGCTGGCCAAGAAACTACCTTCTCCGCCATAGCTCAACGAGCTCACTCCAACAGCCAGGTGCGGTCAGCTGTGCATCCACACAATCTTTCCGATGTTGCTAGTCCGGCTTTCCTCCAGCAATGCCTTCGCGCCACCAAGCCGCACAAGACCCCTGGCCTTGACGGGTTACCACCTGAGCTCTGCAAGAGCTTTGCTACCGACCTCGCTGGCATGCTCCACCCCCTCTACATGAAAGTGGCCTGGCGAGGCACTGAACCCACTGGATGGAAAGGTGCCTCTTCCGTCTACTTTTACAAAAATCATGGCAGCCACGATGATTGCGCGTCATACCGCTCAGTCTTACTTTTGAGCACCTGGGCGAAGGCATGCCACAAATGCCTGCGCCCTGCCCTCAAATCCCATTTTGAAGAAGTGACCTCACCTTTACACCTCGGTGGTAAAGCGGGATGCTCCGTCACCTTTGGAAGCCATCTCATCCGAACTGTAGCTCGGTGTGCAGCAGCACAGCACCGTCCCAGCTTTGTCATCTATGCTGACATTGCTTCTGCCTTTTATAGTGCAGTGACTCAGCTTGTTGCGTGTCCCGCGTCAGATGATAGCACCCCTGATTTTGGAGCCCTGGCTGCGCAGCTCAAAATCACAGCACCGGAGATTGAAGCGCTGCGGGCCCATCTGCGAAGTGACCCTGCTATGGTCGAGCAGGGCGCCTCACCGTGGCTTCAGGAAGTCACCGCTCGCATGTCTCTAGACAACTGGTGGGTGTTACAGGGCGATCAGACTCCTGTCATGACGATGCGAGGCACTCGGCCTGGTTCCTCGTTCGCTGACTTGGTCTTCGCCCTTCTAATTCCAAAAATCCAACACCTACGTGACAGCTTGCGAACCAAGCAGTTGGAAGGGAGTTGTGCGCCAACCTATGCCTGGGATGGTGAATACACTTTCCAACCATGCTCCGCTACCACCACAATCCAGGTCGGCGACGTCATATGGGCAGATGACATCGCCGTCCCCCGCCTCTGCCACCGCTGCCATGAGCTCAGAGCTGCGGTTGCTGCAGAAACGGGAGCACTTACCGACTCTTGTGGGGAACACGGTTTGCTGCTTGCATATGGACCCCACAAGACCGCCGCGGTCGTTACTGCCAAAGGACCCGGGTCGCGCGCAGCGCGCAAGGACCTATTCGGCCCGGAAGCAGGGGGAGGCACTATCCACGTGCTACGGGAGCACACACATAGAGCCCAGCTCCCACTTGTACACTCATATAAACATCTGGGCACGCAACAAATGCCTGCCGGCTCTCTTTCCCTTGAACTCCGGTACAGGGTAGCCCAGGCCAGAGCTGCCTACAGTGAAGGACGCAGAAAGATCTACAAAAACAGGCAAATCGGGATCCGCAGGAAGTGCCACATCCTGCGCTCCCTTGTTCTGTCGCGCCTAACTCAGGGTGCGGGCTCTTGGCCACCGCTGCCTCGACGTGACAAACAGGTCTTCGACACGGCCGTCTGGCAGTTCTATCGCGGTGTGCTCTGTATCCCGAGGTATGCAGAACAGGATCTCACTGCACTGGCCTGTTATGCTCTTACAGGCCTACCCTCGCCTGATGCTCTCCTCCGCGCCTGCCGCTTGCAGTACATTTGTCAGCTCTGCAGGGCCGGGCCGCCCCCGCTGTGGGCAGCTCTACGAGCCGATCGCCCTTTTGCTGAGTTCCTCCTAACCGATCTTCGGTGGATGTACGGATGGGTCGCGACCACTTCTGAGCTAGGACAACCTGACCAGTGCTGGGATTCTTGGCTCCGCATGATCCAGGACCGCCCTGGACGCTACAAAGGCCTGTTGAAGAGGGCCTGCCGCCTTGACCAAGCACGTCTTCAATATGTCGCTGCATTGGATGGGCTTTACCGGGCCCTCACCCGGCATCGCGCAAGCCAAGTTCCGACTCCATGCTCTGATTTGTGCATCCCGTGCAAACGGGCCTTTAAAGACAGGGTCTCCTGGGCAGGGCATGCTGCTAGATGTCATGGATATCGGAGTAAAGCCCATCTCGTTGGTGTTGGGACCTTGTGCTATGCCTGTGGCAAGCGTTTTGCCTCCCAACACAGGCTGAGACGCCATCTTATTTCGGTGCCCTCCTGTGTCAGAGACTGGGGCTCCTTTTCACCTGCAGATCAGGACATTGCACAGAAGGCAGTGCACCCCCTTGCCCCGCCCTGTATAGCAGCAGGTACACTGACACTGCCGCTTGCCTCTGACGAGCCCAGTGATGTCTCCAGCTCTCTTCTCTGTAGCTTGTCCGAACTCTCTGCAGTCGATGAGTCTGAAGTTTGGGATACCATCTCCGATCACATCGAGCCCCTCCAAGTACTACGTAATACCGTTGAGGCTTGGAGATTGAAGCACGCAGATAGTCCCTGGCACCGTGAGATGTCGGAGAATATGCGCCTCCTCCTTGATCCTGAGATCTCGGCCGAGGTATTCCCGGAAGGTACCAGGATCTCTCGCCCGTCCCAGTCAGCTGTACCACAGTGGCACACGCCTAAGGCCCTGTGCTTTGCTATGACTGGGGATGTGTACCGCAGGGAGATTCTGCCACCTCCCGCAGGCACCCTACAAATTGACACCCCAACCAGCATTCCTCTACAGAACGGCCTCGGCATTGCCGAGTGGGCAGAGGTAGCATGCACAGTGGTTGCGGAGTGCCCGGCAGTTGCACCATGTCAGCCGGTATCACTGCATTGTCCTGGCATCTGGACTTGCCTACCGACCGTCCACAACTGGTGCCTTGCACTGGGCTTTCGCTGCCGCGACAGCGGTCTTAGCTCTCCTCATTTGCAGGGAATGCCTGCTCTTTTCGTCTCACCCTTTTCACAGAATTCGTTTTCCTGCTAGGCGTGCGTCTACTTCAGACTCCATCGCTACGAATGAAAAATGAAATGTATGTATGTAAGGCATGCACGTAGGCATCTCTCTGATCAATTATGATTTACATCTGTATGCACACAGACCAGGCGCTGGTTTCTGGCTCTGCATACCTGGCTGTTTGCTGCTGCAAAAGGTCTTATCTTATAATCGAAATCATAGACAATACTATCAATAGTACGATTGATAGTATTCATAGTAGTAATAGTAATGATAGTGAAATGGGCAAGAATAGTAGGAATACGATTACTACGGAGAATACAAAAATATGATAGAAACGGTAGCAGTAGTACTATTACAGCTGCTAGTAGTAAGCAGTAGGAAGAATAGCGGTTATAATAACAATCATAATAAACAGGAATAAGAGTAGTAGTTTCAGAATCATTGTAGTATCATGAAATTTAGCTCTCTCCTGAGGCCAAGCGCCTGGGACATGGCTGCTTCCTGACAGAGCTCCTGGGCGGTGGGGGGGCCGTGCCTGCAGCAGAGGCGGCTTCATGGATTTAGGGCTCAGGGATTTTGAGGTTCAGGGTTTAGGGTTTAGAGTTGAGGGTTTAGGATTTGGGTTTAGGATATGGGGGTTTGAGGGATCCAGGGTTTAGGGGTTTAGGGTTTAGGGGTTGGCTGGCGGGATTTGGGGAGCATTGCTGTTGAGGTATGCGTGCTTTCTGCCAAGGGAAGATCGTAGAATCTGGTTCAGAGCTGTTGAGCTTTGGCTTGCGATGGGATTTGTTCGGGATGGCATGACCCTACAGTATGAGCCTGCCACAGCATCCGTTGACACTCCGGAAAAGCTGGTGCCACCGGCCGTGGTTGCTCCGTGAAAGCTTCGCAAGGGCACCATCTTGGTCCAGACTACGGCCTGAGAATTTGCTCAAGAACCCTGGAAGCAACATCCCTCCCTTCCTCAGTGCCTCCTTTGGCTGTTTTCCAGCGCATGGTGGTATACCATGTGGTCCACGAGACTGCATCCTTCTCTTATCCGGCTTTCCGGTCTCGGAGTGTCCGGTAGGCGGTGAGCCCGAAATCCCTGACCCCAACACCCTAAACCGCAAACTCTAAACTCTAAACCCTGAAGGAGTCAGGGAGTCGTGCAGGGGGTCATGGCGTATGTACATACAGGGCTGCTAGAGGAACACATGGAGCCTGGGGATGCGGTCCTGGATGAGGATAGGGATGAGCGTGAACCCATGGATGAACAGCGTCAAGGTCATCTGAATGGAATGGGATATGGGTCTGAACTCGCCGAGCGGCAAGTTCTTTCGAACCTGCGGACAGAACGCTGCGTTAACAACAAAAAAAGATTGAGTGCGACACCCTGAGCCCAAGAGCCACAAACCAGGGCCGAAACATTCATCCCCGATCCCCGAACCCCTAAAGCTTCCGAAACCCCAAATCTCAAAACATAGGTCCTTGAAGCCCTGAGTCAGCCTGAGTCTACGACTATAGATCCTTCTTGAGCCTCTGTAGAACTTTTATAGAACCCTGATCCCTGAAATCTCAACCCGAAAAGGGCCTGATCTCTGCTTTCTGCGCCACGATCGCTGCCAGTGCCAGGCCCCGCAAGATTTTCGAAGTCTGAGGGGCCTAAGGTTTTTGGAGTTTGGGATTCAGGGTTTGGAGCTTTTGTCTCTCAGGGTTCCGTAGACCTTAAACCTTAAACCCGAAAGCTAAACCCTAAAAAATTAGGCTTCTAAGTCAAGGCTTTTGGGTGGAGGATCTCGGGGTTTCTAGGCTTCTGGAAGGGTCCGATTGGATTCCTAGATGGGTTTTAGGATTGGAGCTCAAGCTTTTTGGGTGCGGGATCCGAGGGTTTGTGTTGAGGTGTCGTCGGGATGTGCAGCTTCCCAGACCCACCCTGGAGGATCCAAAATGTAGATCCCTTAATGCGGGCTCCTATAAACTACCCTTAGTAGTACAGGGCCCCAAATTAGGGGATCTACTTTCTGGATCCTTTTGGGGGTCTGGATTTTGGAATGCTTGGTAGAAGCAGCCTGACTTTTTTTTGTGTGCGTGTGTGTGTGTGTCTTAGTGGTCCCTGAGTCTCGGAAAGACCCAATAGGCATCCCATCCTATATGGGAGTTCCCGAAATTAGGCGACCCTACTCTTGTACCCTAAGTAGTCGGATCCTTATTATAAGGGCCCCAGAATAATAGGTACCCCTCCGCCCCCCAAATTTTCGGAAACTCCCGTATCGAGACCTTCGGCCACGTTCTTTGTCTTTGCAGCATCAGCTCGGCCCAAACTGCATTTGAAGATCAAGACATTGCTTGCCAATCTGAGAAGCTCAGCTTTCCTGCGCTTGTTCCTGAGAGCCGTCCTGGCTTTGATAGGGTTGCTGTAGGCTTGGTTGGGAGTCACCCGATAGTCGCATGTGGTTTTTCGTCATGTTTTCGAGATCTCAGGCAACCACGAGTTTGGGACTTCCTTCACGTGCTGCTGCTGCTGCGGCTGCTGCTGTTGCTGTTGTTGCTGCTGCTCTTGATGCTGTTGTTGCTGCCAGGCCCCAAGCCCCAAACCCTGAGCCCTTCGCCCTGTGTCCTAAAGCCAACCTGAGCCCGAAACCCTGGTCGACCCTGAACCCTTCAGGGCGGTCGCGGGCAAGGCCCCAAGGCCCCGCGAGTGCACGAAGCTCGAGGTGGGTCTTCTGCAGTAGCTAATGATTCATTTATTTGTATTATATACTATAAACTATACGGTGTACTATACTAGATACAATATTAGTTGTATACTATAGTAGTATGATGTTGAGGCTGTCGTTACTATGACTGGTGCTATAGCAATGAGTACGACACATTTACTACTGTTGTTATGATTGCAAGCTTTGTCATTGCGCTGTTTGAATTCTTGTCGTATTCTTGTTAACCGTCCTTTCCGTCTTCTTATATACTATATTTCTATGGCTGAGGGCTCAGGGTCTCACATGGCACTGAAGGTGTAAGGGGTTAGGATTCGGGTTTCGGGCCTGGAGTTTAGGCTCTATACCCGAATTTGCAACCACCCTCAACCCTGAACCCTACCCAAACCCTCCCAAACCAGAAAGCCCAACGGTCTAGGGTTTAGGGTTTATCGCCGAGTCTCGAGCCCTCCTGATTCCATCCGGAGCCTCAGCACTCGCCAGGCACAGCTCCGCAATTCCAGACAAAATCTTCTTTCTGCCCTCTGGCATCGCCCCGTGTGCCGCCACGAGGGTCGGTTTCGTCATGTTTCGGGTTGACCTTAGCTTGAGCCTCTAGGGTGGGCAGGGGGGGCAAGCCCAAGCACTTTCGCCCAAAAGCTTTCAGGAGCTCAGCGCAGAATAGACACTGACCGAAGCCGGCTTCAGGGTTTCTGGTAGCAGGCCCCTGCATGATGTGCCGACGCCAGGTCGTGCGGATGTGGCAGCGGAGGCAAGTCTAAATGAAAGCTTTGCGCAAGATCATATGGGTGGTTGTCAAAATTATGGTCCCTTTTTGGGTCCTTCATATAATACGGCACCTACCCAAAAAGGGATCATAATTTTGACAACCACCCATCTGTTCTATCCCGAATTTCTTCTGGTTGGCTCTTGGGACTTTAGCTTTGTGAGTTTCCTGTATGAACTCTGAGAAAGAGGTCTTTTAATTAGGAGGGGTGCAGAAGCCGGCCAAGCTACACTAAAACATTGCCGTGTGTGGGATTTGTATTCTAGCCGGATGAAACCCATGTTCGATAGCATATGATGGATACCTGCTAGCCTGCTAGTATGCAAAGCATTTCGGACACTTGGTCGTGCTTGTCTTCCTCTCGAGCACGTACACCTGCGCGCACGTGCGCACACACACAGAGATTTGTACTGCTCTGAAGTATGCATGCTTATAGTATACACTTTGTGAAGCAAACACCTATTTCAAGGAAAGTTCATACTGCTGAATGCGATGCATGAATACGCATTAATTACGCTGCTGTATCTTCGCAGCTCGGACGGTGACCTTTCGATATAAGGTATTGCCTCGCCAGACATGTGACATGGCTGCTTCTGCAGCTGCAGCTGCAGGAACTCATTAGTTAGAACATATTCATATGAAAAAGGGCGAAGGAGACGTCTGTAGTCATACGGGCTGCAGTGCTGACAACACCGGGAGACCAATGCTGTAGCCATCTGACCATGTGCTTCTTTCTGCTTCATGTTGATGCTCGCCTTGTGCATGCTGATTTTGGTGCTTGCCGCAGTGCTCCTTCTTTGTTACCCTCCCGTAATTCCATGAGAGGGCAGAATTTGGGTCCTCTTCGATTGAAAGTGCCGTGTTGGGTTTCCATGACCACGATTCGGAGAGAGGGTCACGTCCCCCGGCAATCCCAAATCCGGAGCTTGAAGCCCAGATGTCCTACTGCCAAACTGAAACGATGTCAGCCGAAGAAGCCATGGACACGTAGGGTTCAGGGTTCTCTGATTGTGCAAGACCCACGAGCTTGTCACAGCCAGAGTATCCAGAAGTATGGAAACCCGATAGTCCGTGTACGTTGGCTTGGCCATCACCCTCAACCCATATGGCAAGCGCTAAGCTCGAAGCCGTATACCCTAAGCCCTAATCCCTGAGCCGTAGTAAACCCTATAGAAATCCCTAAAACCTTCTAGACGTTGAACCTAAACCCTGAACCATGCTAAGCCTTGAAACTTAAACCCTAAAGCGCAGTGGACCAGTTCTCCTGGCTGTTCTAGCCTCGTGAGACCTGCCGGCCTCATAGACAAGTAGCTCCAGAAAAAACCGCTAAACCCCAAAGCCTAAACCCCTAAACCCTCAACCCTGCACCCAAAAGAACAACAACCCTAAACCCCTAAACCCTAAACCCTATAGAACCCTTATATAAAGGATTCCTTAATATAGAACCCTTTAAAGGCACCCTTAAAGAATCCCTATAATTATTTATATAGATAGATATAGATCCCTCTAAAGGAACCCCTTAGATACCGTAAGGGACCCTAAACCCTAAACCCTAAACCCTAAACCCTAAACCCTAAATTCCCACCCAGGCCTGCTTAGGCCGTACCCACCCTTTTTCTTAGGGTGCCTGGACCCGGAAGGAAACCCGGCAGTGATTGACACCAACTGGACAATGGGTGGAGCCATCGGAGAGTGGTCGAATTCAGGTTTTAGGGCGTGGCGCCCATATTCGCAGAGGGAATTCCCTCGAATTTCAAGAGATGGAATACCCAACGACCAAATCCCTTGGTGGTGTTTTCCTGCCCCTCAGAAACGGCCCCAGAGGCCGGCCCAGGAAGGCCCCCGAGCTGGCAGATTCCAGGGACCCGGGGGCTCCTGGCGGGTGCTAGGGGGAGACCTGCCGTCTTTTCTGCCCTTTCTCCCCTGCTGCCACTCGCCCCCCCTGGCCCCCCGCCTGGCTCTCGCCTGGCCCTCCTTCCTGGCCAACGCCAAACCAGGGGCAGGTGGGAATGGAGGGCGTAAGCGCTAAACCCTAAAAGGGCAATGTTTTGGGTGGTAGCCTGTGTATTCTCACAGCGGGCGGGAAAAGGTGAGGAACCAATGTGTAATTGTTTGGTGGTGGAATCGCATTCGAACGCTAGACGTCGATATGCCGCCCCCCCACACCCCTGGGAGTGTTGGGGCGCCATCCTACATAGAAAATACTGCCGCTGCGCGGCGAGACGCCCTAAACCCTAAACCCTAAACCCTAAACCCTGAACCCTAAAAGGAGCCCTTTATAGCTACCCATGGAGCCTCCAAGCAGGTGCTGGCCTTGAGTGCGGCGCATTCCGTGGTGGCGCTGCTGACGAACGCCGCCAAGTGGGGGCTCCCAAGAAACTCACGGTGTTTAGGAGTTTAGGGTTTAGGGTTTAAGGTTTTAGGGGTTTAGGGTTTAGGAGTTTAGGGTTTAGAGCTTATAGGGTTTAAGGTTTTAGGGGTTTAGGGTTTTAGGGGTTTAGGGTTTAGGAGTTTAGGGTTTAGGGGTTTAGGGTTTTAGGGTTTAGGGGTTTATTGTTTAGGAGTTTAGGGTTTAGGGTTCAGGAGTTTAGGAGTTTAGGAGTTTAGGAGTTTAGGCTTTAGGAGTTTAGGGTTTAGGGTTTATATAGGTGTTTAGGAGTTTAGGAGTTTAGGAGTTTAGGGTTTAGGTCTTTAGGTTTTAGGGGTTTAGGAGTTTAGGGTTTAGGGTTCTTGTTAAGGGATGTACCTTTAAGTTACAAAATAGGCATCTACAAAACTTACAAACAGAATAAACAACCATATTATTCACAATAGGTTGAAGCTATTTCGCGATGCCTTAGCAAGGGTTCTATGCGGTTTACTACAAAGGCTGCGAAAACGCTTCTACGCAAGGGTTCTAGAAGGGTTCCTGTAAGGGTTCCATGCGGGTTACTACAGCTTTTCTGTTCTATGCGGGTTGCTGCAAGGGGTCTCGGGATTGCTCATGACAGGGCAAGCTACCCCAAACCCGACTACTCCTACTGCTCCTCCTGCCGCTTCCGCCACCAGCACCACCAGCACCTTTGCTGCTGTTTTTCGAATCCTCAGCGACTTGATGGGGAAGGCATCAGGAAGATGACCTGCTAAGAACGGACTTAGCCGGCGAAGAAAGCAATCAGAAGTTGCCCAATCAATGCCATCAGCGATTGTGTGTGTGTGTGTGTGATGACGTCATGCGATATTGGAGAGGTTCGAAGTGCTTGAAGCCCCCAAGCCCGAAAGAACGGGCGGAGCAGGTCACTGGCTCTCTCGGTCGAGATCGCCCTTGTGCAGGCACGAACTGATTAAGGTCCAGGGCTTTGCGGCCACAGTTTAGGCGTTGAGGGTTCTAACCGTGGCTGGATGTAGTTTTGGAGAAGGGTTGTTGCGGCATCACAGGAGGCAGAGAGTCATCTTATCAGTTGCGTGCATATCCTACATCAGATTTGTCAGGACTGCGCAGTGTTCCTTCCGTCTCGCTAGTCTTCGGACTCATGTGGGATAATTTTGAGGTGTTCAGGCATCAGGGGATCTTTGTGTGAGATTCTACTATGCGCGTACTTGCAGTATCTTACCGAATGTGCAGAGAGGCTCTTCCTTACCCTTTCATGCAGTGGCAAATAGTAGAACAAAATGACAAGCTGTGTGGGATGAAGCAGGATTCAGAATTACTCCCCCAATCAAGCCAGCACGTGTCAGTTCAGCAGCAGAGTTCCGGATTCCGGAGCCGGGTATCATGCTACATGAGACGGTCCTCGCCCAATCCGTAAAGCCTAAGCTCTGAGTTCTGAGCCCCCATGCCGCAGACCCAGATCTCGAAACCCTCGTAGAAGAAAGCGTGATTGCTAGTATTACAACATATAATGTAATACAGTATAGTAGCATAACATATAGTATACTATAGAAGCATGACATAATTCGTCATAATCAGCACACTGGCTATCCGGAATCTGTAGACCCAGAAGCTTCCATTAGCTTTTTTTCAAACATCAGGAACTTGGTCCGCCGTAGCAGGCCGGAGTCTTAAACCACTAGGCCTTAAGCCCTAAGCCACGACTTGTTGGTTGCAGGGCATGACCTCCAGAAATTGAAGCCGTAATTTTCGAAACGCCGATTTCGCTGGTATTGCAATCCAACTATATACCCCGAAGCGCTACCAGAGGCCCCAAGCTCAAATTTTCATGCAAAGCTTCCCAGACCCTCAAACCCCTTGCACCGGAAGACCTAACTCCCTACACGAACGCCTTCGAACCAGGATCCCGACCCTGGCCCCAGCGAACTTGGCGAGATGGTCGAGACAAACGAGGTCTCCCAGCTGCCGGATCTGACGGAGCGTCGGGCTCTCAACTGTCTAGGGCTACTTTGAGTTGCAACAACAGGGCCAATATGAAAAGAAGTAGTAGTAGTAGGAGGAGGAGTACGAGTAGGAGTAGGACTAGGGGCAGGAGTAGGAGTAGGAGTAGTCATAACAGTAGTAGTTGTAGTAGCATCTCCTGCCAGTCCCTGTACATAGGATTCTGCTCTACACCTCAAGACCCCATCGTCATGAGAACCCAGAAATCCCATAAACATACTCCATGAAAGCCTATACCCCCTTGCAGGGATGTGCCGGTAGCTCAGATTTGTGTATTTTTTTGAGTGCCCACTTGTATGTTGAGGCTGGTTTATGCTACTCGGTGAGGTTCAGGGTTTGGGGTTTTGAAGATACGGGCTGAAGGGTTGCGGGTTGCGGCCTTTGCTAGTGGGTTGAAGCTTGGCGGGTTAGGGTTAAAAGGGACTATTATTAGAATAGTCCAGGGTTGAGACAGCCTAAGGTGGGTTCGATTTACGGACTGGAACAAAAGGGTTCACCCGGAGGTGTGGAGGTCTGGGTTTCACTGGGTCGGGCTTGCTAGCGGGCAATACTGAAGTGGCATAGGGTGGCTACGATGCTGCTTGAATCTCATGTCCTGTTTGCTGTATATATATATATATATATAACTTTTTCCATCTGACTATATATCTATATAGCTTGTTCCATCTGACAAATGCAAAATGTAATATACCAGAGTGACCATGTATATATACGCATATATATATATATATATATATATATATATATATATGTTTATATGTTAGAGCATACTATATAATGTTATACAACCATACTATGCCCATGCTGGTTCAAAGGGCCCTCCCGGGTCGAACCTCTTTGCCATCCCTTTCAATGTTCTTGTTGCTAGGCGAGAATGTTTTTCCAGGCGTTTGCAACCCTTCCGCCGTTCCACTTCTTTCGTGTCTCTCTCCTCTCCGAACATCGCCATGGCTTCGCAGAACCATCTGAAGCTTCACTTTCAGTCCACACTGCTTCCGATCTGTACACTGAATCCCCAAAACTGTGGCCGGCTCCAGAGCTTGCTTGACCTGCAGCCTTCGAACCTGCCGAACTAAACCTACACTTCTCCTGAGTTTGCGGTAACAAACCCGACACTTGGATGATAAACCGGGGCGGTCAGAGAAAATCATAGAGAGGTGATGGCATCTTCGGCGCAGACCTTTCAATTCCCTGAAGCGACCAAGGCCTTAAGGAGCAAGGTCAGTACGAGAAGCAACTTGTCAGACTTATGGCAAGGGGGTTTGCAGTCAAAGGTTAAGAGTTTCCTTTCCAGATGCTGGAGGAGAACGTACCGCACGGAGCATCACTCACACAGACATAGACACAGAGACAGAAATGGTGCAGGCCGTTGGAAATCCTCTCCGGGGGCTTGCAGATTGAGGATGGCTTCAACGTTCAACGACATGAATTGGATCAAGTGTAGAGTGGGGACAGATGAAGGCATGGTCTTTTTCGTGCAATTGTAAGATAAGAGTCGATATCTCGTCGGGGGTAATCCATACAGTGCAGGTTCGAGCTTGAGTGGAATCCGGTCGTCGTTTGGCTGCAAGTGCAAGCTGTCCCCCGTCCTGCACCGTTCCGTTTCTAGCTCATCCGCCAGGCAATTCTCCTTTCTCCTGGGCACCATCATGGTGTCATGCACAGAACATTTCCTTGCAAATAAACGGCTATTCCCCGGCACATTGACAACAATGGGCACATGCTCATGCCTTGACTGTGATGCAGCCTACGCCCGTCTTCTGAAGGTACATCAAGTGGCGCGAAGGCCGGTCACGAAGCAAGCCGGAATTCACTGAGATCTGCATTGCTGCAACGTTGGCGGCAACTACTGTCGAAAATCAAGAAGCACGCCCCGTCTATTCAAGAATTCTGGAGTCGTGTAGTTTAACTAGACCAGAACTGAAGTTCAGCACGTCTGCTCTGGCTCAACCCTCAGAAACTGAATGGTGCATATGGCGCGAAAGTATTAAACATGGTGCACTCATCATAGACATGTCCCAGCCAAGTCCAGGCTTTTTTCTCTTGGCAGAGCGATGCTTCGTCATGAAACGGCGAAGTTTTTGCGATAACGACGACGACTACTTCCCACGACCGCCGCCGCCGTCGCCAGCACCAGCACCAGCACCAACACTCCACCACCACCGCCACCACCACCACCGCCACCACCACCACCACCACCACCACCACCACCACCACCACCACCACCACCACCACCACCACCACCACCACCACCACCACCACCACCACCACCACCACCACCACCACTGCTACTAAAGCTACTAAAGCTACTACTGGTATTATAGGTCTGTCTCGTCTTCTTGGTGTTAGTCCCAGGAGTTGTGCTTTTGCTGTGCTGCCTTGTGTTTTTTAGCTTCTTAGTCTCATCACCAACGTGCAGGTGTTCAGTAGAAGGTTTTGGAAAAAAGTGGCCCAATGATTTGCGGCAGGTTACATGCAATGGCGATCAGGCGGGCTGTCAGGCTCCAAAGGAGAGGTCATCGAAAACAGCACAACCTGACGCCAAAAGAGCTTGCACGGCACCTGCGTCTCCATGTTGCGGGCTTCAGCTGGTTATCTAAATCCAAAATAACAGGCAGTGTACGAATTTTGCATTTTTGCCGGGTGTTTGGATGTGTTGCAGCACTTTTGGCTGTGGCGAGTTCAGGTAGCATACTTCAGGACTCTTGTAAGCTGCACCGGATTCTTCCATGGGGGCTCGTCCTCTCAGCCCATTGGAAGCTTTTTAGGCAAGTGGTGGTGGCTCGTTGGGTTCCCAGTACATCACAGCGAGCTGGCTGCCGTACAGACACTGCTAGCAGCAGGGTTTCGAAGTAGCAAAGTGGGACTGCGACAGCGTTTTGGCTCAGAGTTTGGGCCCACTGAGAGGGGGGGCAAGTTGTCAACGACAGCGAGCAGCTTGGCGACGCAAAGTTTTAGGCTAGGAGCCTTCATACAAGAATTAGAATAGGGTTTTGGGACCCATCATACTGTAATGAAATTAGGAACACCTTAAAATGTAGGTAATTAGCCCTGCCAAACTTGTGCAAAAAAATGCTCAGGGCATGGCGGAGCTAAAGGCCAATCTCGTCCAAAATGACGCTTTGGGAAAGCTCCCGGGAAACGAACCTCGACATCGATTTGTGATACTTTTGAATTTCCAACGATTGTTTATTACAGAGCCCGAATTCTGAACCATACCTATAGTATGCCTATACTGGTACCTACAATATGCCTATGGCATACCCATAATATGCCTATAGTATGCCTATAATCGTACCATAAAACCCTAAACCATAAACCCTAAACCCAAACCGATTGGGGATTCTTGAAATCGGCACCTTAAATAAACCCTAACCCCTAAACCCTAAGACCGATTGGGGATTCTTGAACACGGCACCTAGGAACGAAAGGGCCTCACCTCGCAAGAGGCCCAGGCTCTCCTGGAGGACCGGTTCCATCGCAGGGTTTGGGCACACACTTCTAGGTATATGAGAGGTGAATTGTAGGTATATATCGTATATGGGTAGATTATAGGTTAGTGTTATAGGTAAGTCATAGGAATATTATAGGTATATCATAGGTAAATTATAGGCATCTTATCGATTATAGGTGTATTGTGGTATATTATAGGCAAATTCTAGGTTTATTATAGGTCTATTATGGAGTTCCTGTGGGTAGATCATGTTTAGATTATCGATTTGTTAGCCTTAGTTGGCCCTCTCTCTCTCTTTCTCTCTTTCTCTCCTTTTTTCGTTCTTCCCTCTCTCCCTGTCTCCCTATTGCTCTCTGTTTGGCTCTGTGGTCGACGGGTGGCCGGGCCGATTCAGAGGGAAACTTGAGACTGTTTGTACGTTGGGGGTGGTCGCTGCTTCGCGCACGTGTATTCGCGCCTCGATGCTTGTCACGCAACTTTGGCACGCCCCCCTCAGAAATATGGTCCCAATGAGATTCCAGTGATCGAGACGCCCATTTGGAAGATGATCCTATCTCAATTTGTCGGCCTCCTGGATGCATCTGATGGGGAAAGCTGCTCTTTGACCACGCGAGCACACGTGGCCGTTACTAGTGATCTACTAGTGGACCATCCACATTTATATGTAGCAGCTAAGGCAAGAGCTTCCAATCACTAGGACAAGAATAGAAACAGTCGTGACAACCATAGCCCCAACATAGAAACCACAACACAGTCTCAACAGTTACGTGCCAGCATGCACAGCACCAACTCACAGCAACCGTGTTTTTAGCTTGAACGTCGCTGCCAACGCACATCCCTTACCTATAGTAGCTCGAACAGTCACAATCGTCGACATCTTCTTCGTCGTCGCAGTGCTGGTTGTGGAAGTGGTCGTAGGTACCGTGTAACAGGATTTCTGGTTGTAGGTCGCAGGCCGTGTTTCGTCGCCCACTGGTGGCCCCAAAGGTTGCGAATTAGTTTGCAGCAATGGCCAGCACGTGACTTCAAGTCGTCGTACTCGTCGTCATCCTCTTCGAGATCGAGATTGAGGAGGATGGTGACGCAAGAAGTAGTAGTCGTCGTCGTAGTAGTCGTAGTAGTAGTAGTAGTAGTAGTAGTAGTAGTAGTAGCAGCTGGTCCTTATGTGTTCCACCAAGGCACAATGCCAGTTATGCTCGAAGTGAGTTGCATCATCTCCGCAGCAGCTGGCGATTGGCCAGACTTCTTTGTGATCTTGGCCATGGTTCTTGCCGCTCAGCTCTTTTCATGCTTGCTGAATTAGCGCCACGCCTGGTCTAAAGGAGGCTGAGCCATGAATTCGAGGGAACGTTTGCAATTGTGTCTCACTGACTGGAACTTCTTGTTGACTAGAGAGCGGTGCCTCTGCTTACTAGCATCATCTACTACAGGGGCCTCAGTAATTAGAATGAGGTTTTGGGGCCCATTATACTGGACTTATAAGAAAGAAACCCTAAAATAGTATTGGTAATTATCAAGGCCCCTATATGAGCATCTTGCTGTCGCTGGGAGGTCAACGCTGCCCTTGGCTTCCGGGAAGAAATGAAAGCCAAGAATGCCTTGGAGGAGCTGACCAACCAGATGGAGTCCAGCATTCCATGCTTGCGCGACGGCAAGACTGAATCCCTACCAGTGTCGAAACTTGTCCCCGGTGCCTCGGTAGATCGGCCTGCTTTTCAGCCTTTTCTGTTCGACATGACCCTGCTTTAGTCCGCGAGTCGGATTTATTGCTGGGTGTGCTGTCGGGATCTCAGAAGCGCTTTTGATTTTGCCGGCCTGCAGGTGATGTGATCCACTTGCGCGGTGGTGCCCTGACGCCCGCTGACGTGGAGTGGCTGGAGGGTGACACCTTGTCCCTCTGTCATAGTTGGGTAGCATTTTATATTTTTATGGGTACTTAGACCTAATAAGGACTAAACAAATTTAGATTCTTAAAATAAGGACTAAAAGTTTAGATTCTTAAATTGTTATCCCCACCATGAACTAGGTCCATCGACACCGCCGCCTTGACCGGAGAGCCTCTCCCTCGCAAATACCCCAGTGAGGAGTATCTTAGGCGTGCTTAGAAATAGCTTTTAGTTTTTGGTTATTATAATCCCTAAGAAACAGCTAAAAATTACAATTTTTGCTAGGGTTCTGAGTTCAGTGCAGGTATGGCAAGATGATCTTGTCCGGAACCACTGTGAAATCAGGAGAGGCCTATTGCGTCGTGAGACTCACAGGTACCAATACTGAGATCGGGCAGGGCCAGGCCGACATCATGGCAGATCGTGCTACCGCAGCCGTCTCGGTCTTCGAGCAGCGTGTCATGGTGGTCGTCAACATCATCATCTCCGTCGCGGTCCTGGACGGCATCATCATTGTCCTGGTGCAGGGCCTCGTCCGCAACGGCTTCGACGTGGAAGCTCGGCTAAGATCATCACCGCGCCTAGGCAATCTTGTTCTGCATTCACGAAACCACACAGGAGCTCGCCCAGCTCGTGTTCTCAGCTAGGCCGTCTTTAGTGCCAACAATGGCGGAAGGGGGGACGGATTGGGGCTCTGGCCAAGAGTGGTTGATCCACTCAGAGGGCGGGTGCTACTAGAAATGAAGCGACTTGCCATTGCACGAGACTCTTCGGAGACTTCACCGTGAGTTGCGTGTCCCTGCAAGGTGCATCAAAGCCTGTAACAGCTGTAGCATAGTTCCTCTGCTGTGATTTGGTGGATAAAGATTGGCACGATCAGGGTCCTGATCCAGTCCTCTCTCAGGACTTCAAAGGCACCTTGCTCACGGCACTCTCGATCCTCATTGCTGCCGTTCCCATCGCCCTGCCCTTGGTCCTCCAGGTGACCATGGCTATCGGTGCCTATCGCATGGCTACCGAGACGTGGCTTTCTTTCAGAACATAGGGAGCCCGAGTATAGGAACCCTAAGTAGGAGGATTCCTTTCCTCGGGCCCCTGAATCAGAAACCCACACTCGGCCCTGATTGACGAGCGCAGATAGAGAAGATTTGGAGATCCACCAATGCAGCAGGCTCATTATGCAGGTAAGTGGTGTTGCGATGCCGGAGCAATCCGAGGATCATCATGCCATCGTGACGCGGATGTCCGCGTTGCAGGACATTGCCTCCATGGATGTGCTCCCTGGGTTTGGAGTACCATACTTGAATACTTCTTTTGGTACCTGTTCCTTAAAGGAACCATTATGAAATAGAAGTCTATACCTTTTCTCTCCCTGGTTACTTCAAAGTCCAGGTAGACCCTTATACCCTAAATCCTAAAGCCTAAATCCTAGGCTCTGCTCCGACAAGACCGGCACCCTGACAACGGCGAAGATGAGCATCAACTTGCAAAAGATTTGGACAGCCAAGAAGGACTGGGCTTTGGAGTACCATACTTTAATACTATGTTTCTGAAAGGAACAATAATGAATTTGCAGTAGCATACTTTAATACTTTCTCTCAAACGAGCAATTATGAAATATCAGTTTATACTTTTTTCTCCCTGGTTACTGCAAAGCCCAGAGGATGGGTTCGGAGCCTTGGACAACAGCTTGTACAGCGCCCCCAACCAAGAGCTGGCTCTGCAGCAGATGCTCATGGTGATGGGCATCTTGGCCTCGAACGCCGACAAGAAGGATGATGCGATTGACGGCGCTCTACTTAGGGCTTGGGAAATGATGACAAAGGACTGGGGCTCTTGTTAAGGGGCTTGGTTTAAGTTAAGATGCCGCAATAAGTAACAAGGAATCCATGTTATTCCCGGTAGATCCCTATTATGGTAGCATGATTTATATCCCTAACTCCTAAACCCTTATAGAACCCCGAAAGGATCCCTATAATTAGTACCTTAAACTAAATTCCTTAACAAGAACCCAGAGGAGCTAAACCCTAAACCCCTTCGCCCTAAACACTAAACCTAAACCCTTAAACCCTAAACCCCGAACCCCTAAACCCTAAACCCCTTCATAGAACCCTTATAGATCCGAACCCTTATGGATCCCTTTGAGGGAACCCTAAACCCTAAACCCCTAAACCCCTTAAAGGAGCAGGGAGAGGCCCC